GGTGGTATAGCTGGAGCAACTTCACGTACTGCAACTGCTCCTCTTGATCGTCTGAAGGTGGTTTTGCAAGTTCAGACCACGCATGCTTATATTTTGCCAGCTATAAGGAAAATATTTAAGGAAGAGGGTATTCTGGGGTTTTTCCGAGGTAATGGATTAAATGTTGTCAAGGTGGCACCTGAAAGTGCCATCAAGTTCTTTGCTTATGAAATGTTAAAGAATGTAATTGGAGAACATATGGGGGATGAGAAGGGTGATATAGGTCCCACTGGGAGACTCTTTGCTGGTGGCATGGCAGGTGCAGTGGCGCAAACTGCTATCTACCCTTTGGATCTTGTAAAGACTCGGTTGCAGACTTGTGCTTCTGAAGGTGGTAAGGCTCCCAACTTGGGGAAACTAACAAAGGATATATGGGCTCATGAGGGAACTCGAGCTTTCTATAAAGGTCTTGTGCCATCTCTTCTTGGGATTATTCCTTATGCTGGCATTGACCTTGCTGCCTATGAGACCTTGAAAGATTTGTCAAAGACATATATTCTTCACGACAGTGGTAAGTGTTCTTTGTGCTTGTTTGTGTTTGAGACTCTATATTCTGTCCTTTTGTTATTCTGTGAAGTTCTTGCATAACCTCTCATTCTAATTGCTTTGTTCTGCAGAACCTGGACCTCTTGTACAACTTGGTTGTGGGACAATATCAGGAGCACTTGGAGCCACATGTGTTTATCCTTTGCAGGTTATTAGAACAAGGTATGGTGCTTCTGGAAAGAAGTTTCTCAATTTGGTATTGGGGATTTTTAGTTCAACCAATTGGTTTATATCTGTTTCTTCATTTTTCCTCTGATCCCATTATGGCTGATCATTGTTTTTCTTTATCAGACTGCAAGCTCAACGTTCTAATACCAGAGATGCTTATAAAGGAATGTCTGATGTATTCTGGAGAACCCTTCATAAAGAAGGTTATAGAGGTTTCTACAAAGGAATTTTTCCTAATCTTCTCAAGGTTGTTCCAGCAGCAAGCATTACTTATGTGGTGTATGAAAGCATGAAAAAAAGTCTAGACCTCTAGCAGTTATCAGTGAAGAAGCAGGAGCAGTAGAAAAGGCAATGACGAAAAATTACTAAACAAGTAGGTAATATGATTATTTTGAGATTATGTGATAGATGTTAGATGATAAATATTCCCCTACAAAGAACAGGGTATATAGTTTTTTAGTGAAATTTTTTCCTGAGGCTTATCTAAGCTAAATGTTGAGAAACAAGTTTTATATGACATATTGATCTTTGACACTTGACAGCAAGCTGATGATATAGGTATGATGCTATTCCTATTCCTATTCCCGTCATCTTCATGCTTCTCTCTGTCAAAATGCACGTTTGCGGGATTCATTCCGCATGCATCCTGGTTGACTGACAATTAAGATGAACTCAGCATAGATAATTTCTATAATATAATGTTGATTGTGTCAAAAGTTTGAAATGCAGCTTGCCTCGTGATTTCTCACTTCTTGCATCATCTCTCTGACTTGGAGCATGCTTTTTTTTCTTTTTTTTTCTTTTTTTTTCTTGGTGGCCTTCACCTGGAACATCTTTCAATCTTCCCATCTGCTTTTGACATTTCTGATGCTTAATATCATGAGGTGGCTTTTTACCGGGACTAATGGCTGTAAGCCTGTAACTTCGTTTAATTTTTTTTTTTTTTTCTCGTTTGTAAATGTTGCCCACTCCCTTGTCTGAAAGACACTTGTTGAGCTAAATACCTTTACTAGGTGTAGTTTTGATCGAGAAAAATTAGAACTGTACTAAATATTAACAAAAAAATTATTTTGGTAGTGTGGATGGTAAAACAGGAACTCAAATAATAATAATAATAATAATAATAAAGAAAAAAATGCATATTAGACCTAACTCTTAAAAAAATTAAAATGTTAATTTTAAATTATGTTATTTTATTTAATTAAATTTTAAAAATTTATCTTATTAAATATTTATATTTAGATTTGAAAACTAATTAAATTTTTAAATTTTAAATTAAAATTTCAGTTTTTAAATAATATAAGTTGAGGTTTTTAATTTTTTAAGAGTCAAAATTAATATGCACTAATTTCTATATTAATAAAAATAAAAAACAAGTGCATTTCCTTTTGTTGGATGAATGAAATTAACGAAAATTGAACTGTTAAAATAGTAAACGGGAAAATTGTGTTTTAATTAGTAATTTAAGATAAGTGCACATAAAAACTTAAGTTTTAAAATACATATATAATATTTTTGTGATTTTAGGTATATAAAGATGAAGACTTAAGATACCAAAATGTGCACATAAACATTAAAAGTTCACACTTCGTACAAATAGTTACTTAAAAATGATTAAAATCAAAGTTTTTATATTCACACACCTCACAAATATATTATAAGCATATTTTAAAATCCTGAATCTTTTTGTGCACTAATTTTAAACCTCAAGTAGCTAAAATGTATTTTCTCCAAAATAAAATTAACAAAGCAATTTTTTTAAAGTAGAAAATTGACATCAATTTATACAGAAATGAAAAAAAAAAAAACGGAAAAATCAAAATCTGAGAGTTGAGATTTTTTTTGGTGACTTGACCTTTTCTAAAATAGCATGATGGATACGGTAACCTTTTCTAGAAAGGAAAAATGTGTAGACTAACATAACAATTCAGATAAACAGACTAACAAAAGCTAAGCACCAAACACCAAATTTCTTGTGGGAAGAACAGAGTATGAATCTAAAAAAATTATACAAGACACCCAAATAACTTTGTTTCATAACAAAGACAACGGCCAAAATATATCAATGTTCAATTACAACCAAGGATGAAGGAGTTGCTGCTGTTCATGCTTGTGGGATCAGAACTAACATAGGCAAACATAAAACAGACCTCATCTAGACTTACAGTATCTTCTTTTTCCTTGTGAAGCATGCCTTAATTTTGCCTGCCAAGGATCTTTTCTCACCAAAATTTGGTGATCTATAAGTCAAAATGTAGATCTCCACAAGAAAAGGAAATTGCAACCACACAAACAAGCTGACTGGAATGCCTGCAAGTAACGTAGTTGGAATGATTAACTGCCATCGTCCTTGTAGCAAGAAAATTAGACTTGAGCAAAAGGTTATCATCATTGCTGCAATGGAGATAAAGAGGGTGGAAAGCCCAATCATCAACTTTTGAGGTAAGGATCTTCGGAAATCTTCTATGTTATAACGCGACGTTAGGATCCCCAAAAACATTAGCACTGAAGTGGATGCAGCAAAGAGAGAAATTGCATCAGATAGTATGTATATCGAAAATGATATTATATCTTTCAACTTTTGAGTGTGCAGATTCTGCTCGTAACCCCCGGCAGAGGTGAAAGCTGCTGCAAACATTATGGTGATAATGAGGGCACCCACAACTGTATAAGATGTTGCGGTTTCCTTCATCGATTTTTCTGCTTTCTCTAGCAAGACCTTGTGTTCTCTAGTGAAAACTTGGTAAGGAGTTTCACCATTCTTGTTTTTGGAATCCCTGTCATAATCGGTAACAATACTCTCAACCTCCTGCATTTTTAAAATTGATAACGTTATAAGTTAAATCTTATATCAAAGTATAACAATCAACATGCCGCCACCCCTCTTTCTAGCTCTCGGCTTGAGTCGATTTTTTTTTTTAATTGTTTTTTGAACAGCAAAAAAATTTCATAAACAGAGTACAGGGGTACCTAACCCATGTACAAATCAAACAGCACAAATAGAATTGTTTTTGTCTTACATTAAAACCATCCCTCCAAATCCAAAAGACGTTAACTATCAAAATATGCTTTTTGTTGATGATTGAGGTTTTAAATCAATCATTCAACTTGCAGATGGTGAAAGCAGAGTACTCTTTATTCTCCTAAACAACATAATTTTGGATTGAGAAAAAGGCAATTGACCTTGCATACCTTAAACCACTGTACCTCTCTTTGCATTTGCAGTGCAGCACCTGAGATTCGAGCAAGTTGATAATCAGGAGCTAATTCCCCTGCTATATGTAACACATTGTTTTGCTCACCATCAGTGAGACGGGTAAGTGTCTTGGCTATAGGGAGTCCAATTATAAAGCGGACAATTTTTTCTTGGCGAAGGGCAATTGCAGCCATGAGAATGCTTGCTCCAGTATCAGATGAGCATATGGTAAGCATGTCAGGATTAGTTTCGGTTATTTCAATTAAAAAATCAACAATGCCATGCTTGATTGCTTGGATGATTGCTTCGATGATTGCTCTGCTATTGATTTCTCCTTGTTCTAAAGTTGATATGTGTCGACAGCAGAAATGTAGACTCGCACGGGCATAAGCATGATTCCTCTTTTGATCATATATTTGGTTTATTCCTAAATCAAGGATTTAGATAAAGCATAAGAAGATGGCAAAATTGTTTTGCAGTTTGGATTGGTTAGACGGTAAACAGTCATTTGGCCCAATGGAATCAGAAGTGAACCCCTCTAATCATTGGACTTAGTTGTTTGCATTCAGACCAATTTGAACCGCGAAACAAGGCCTCCTAAGAAGATTAGAATAGAATATAAGTGCAAAAGAGAAATGTTAAATACAAAGTTGACTGGACTTTATCATACCAAATAACTGGAGAAGGATTGAACCCAATCTGTATAATCCACCTAGCATTCAAAAAAGGAAAATGAAGAGGGAGGAGAAATAACATTCAACCTGTGATTCTTTTTTTTTTTTTTTTTTGCCAAAGCCTATGATTAAATTTTAGATTGTCTTGAAATGTGTTGTGAATAACCTGAGTCTTTCTTGCCAAATTCTAAAAAATCAGTCTTTAGTGTTTGGAACAATATGGTGCCACCTAAGGTTAGTATTATCTTGGAAATTAAGCATTTAATTTTTCCATATATATATATATATATATAGATCCAGAGAGAGAACAGAATGTTACCTGGTATTATGGCAGTCTTCTTTTCAAAGTTACCTTCTTGCTGGTTAATAGGAACACGACAACTAGAGGTGGAAACAGAAGGTATGCTTACCTTAAAACCTTAAACAACAACAATAAGATTTACTTAATCCTTAAGAAAAGAAAATTGGAATATATATAAGTAGATATTAGTGTTTAAAAAGAGGTTATTTTAATATTTTTCAATAAAAATTTATTGAAACAACTCAATTGTTTTAGTATTTTTTCATCTAATTTTTTTTGTATGTTCCTAATTATTTTATAAAGTACCAACGAAACAATCAGATCCATTAGAAAAGAAAGTGAAGATGGAACTAGTTAGAAGAAATGATACTAACGATCACAGATCCACTGTTGCCAAAACGTCAGCCTACTTCTAGTGACGAACGCTGCTGGTGTTGTGGCAAATCCATAAAGAAGATCATTCCAGCATCCGTTAATTATACTTGGACAACGGCTGAGTATATCGAACATAATATCTGCCACATCAAAGTTATAGCATATTGTTATTTTATATGATTAATTATAAATTCTCATTGCGTAATTGAACTTGCTATTACCAAAAGTTTTGGCTCTAAAACACCCGCGCAGTAAATTAAATCCATGATTTCCATATTCGGGGAGTAGGACATCAAACGGAGTGACAGAATAGAGTGCATATGTCAGCTCTTTATGACCTCCAGAACATGCTGCTACAAGCGGGATACGCCCATACACATCAGTGATAGTAAGCAACTTCTGACTATATCTAACCAAGCATTTCGCAATCTCAGTCATTCCATACACGGCAGCAATGCCAAGAGCTGTTGCCTCGTAATAATGTGCCTCTTCTATCTCTTTTGGGATTATGTTGACCAATGCCTCAACAATATTTAACCGACCAGCAAGAGTTGCAGATTGAAGAGTAGTAGAAGAGTTGGCTGCTGGTATTGCATTTTTGGCAAGTGGATTTGCGGTATAAAAGCCCATTACAGCTTCAACATCCCCTTTGTGAATGGCATTTAGCAACAATAGGGACTCAGCCCTTTTCAAAGTTTGGATCACTGCCAAGATTTAATTAATCCAAATTAAGTTCAAAGACTATTAAGGCAATGTTAAGATTTAAGACTATAATCTTAGAGTGTGTTTCATTTAAAAGCACATGGTCAACAACGTATGCACTCTATTTTGCAGATAAAAAAAATATTAGATTGTATTTTTTTTTAAGAAAAGAAATTCTAAATTCTCTCACAAGTTTAATAATTTTAATCCTAGAGATAGAGATGGGCCTGGCAAACCTGGGACAGTACTTTGATCTCCTTCGAACTTAAACTCAGAATCATCATCTTCACCTTTATGATCTTCTTCTCCTTTATGATCTTCTTCATGTAATTGGGCTAACTTATTCCAAACTTCTTTGGCTGAACGGATCTCCTTTATCAGGTCAAATTTTTCTGGTCCACATGAAATCTGAATTGCATGCAGACAGGCAGCATTCTTTCTTCTCAACTGAGTTTTACTAAGCTGCTGATGATCAGTGATTTGTGGAACAATAATACCATCCCAAAGATCTTCAGAAATCAAATAGCTTTCAATGCAAATGCTCCACCTATCATAATTGCCTCTATGTAGAAGTTCAGGGACAATGGCATTTACAGTAGTATTTGTTGACTCCACTGCCCTAGGTTTAAAAGGAGATGGCATTTTGATTGTGATTCTGAAGAGGTGGTACAAGACTAGTTAAGGCAGATACCAAATCAAAGTTGTTGAGTTCAGTTTAATTTTAATGGAATTGATGAGCAGAAGTCAAGGTTGGGGATCAACAGCATTGCATGGTGCAGACTCAGTATAAATTCAGTGGCTTTGGAGCTTGGCTAAGCAAGGTGTCGACAGAGAAATCCACAAGTCAGCAAGAGTGTCACCTGCATGATATTGCTGAGTTAATAACTAGTTCTCTTAATTAGTAATGGGACGGAATACTCCTCATAAAATCTTTTGAAATTAATATTTTATTTTGCCAATAAATAGAAAGAAAGAACTTTTACAAAACTGCCTCAGCAGAGTAAACAGAAAGGACAATGCTGTGAATTCAATCATACCAAATATAACTGTAACGGATATACCAAAGTAGCAAATATAATTACAAGGATGAAGGGGGGACGTTAAGCCTTTCTCCTCTCAAGCTGCAGTTGAATAAAATTCAGGCGTAGTCGCGTAGATCTGCAAACTCTAGCAAGAATGATTGTCTGAACTGAGGCTATACAATTTATAGATTTCAATGTGGCTATCACATTTTAAATATAAAATGACTTTAAACTAATTTGATCGTAGTTTAATTATGCCAAACATCGGCAGACGGGCCTGCTGGAACTTGAACAACCAGACACCCATATGTGATGTGAACATATAGTCATTAACATTCAAAATAGAGATCAAGAAGCAGAGCATTAATTTGAATGTTAATTTCACAAGTATTTGTTCTATATATATATATATTCCTTTCACAACCCAAACCTTGTGTTAAAATAGATGTTCACAGGACTTTTTCAAACAGTTGCTTATCTAAACTAGAATTTTGAATTTATTATTTTTAATTATTTTTAAAATATTTTTATTGACTTTAATTAATTTTTTCATATATTTTTGAAATGGTGAAAGAGGAAAAAACCCAAAAAAGTTTGATCACCACTGGGCTAGGAAAGATGAATCCGATCTCTCCTGGTGAAGATAATTAGAAACTGCTTAAACAATTCCGGGAGGGGGAAGGAGTAAGGAAATTAAAATGAAATTCAACCTCTAAATCAAGAGAAGAGGAGTATGTATACCTTTTCCCTTGGCTTTTTCCTGTTAAATGATTAAATCAAGCTGAAACTTGTGTACCGAAAAGGATGGAGAAGCTTCAAGCAGAAGTACATCCGAGAATGGAAAAAGATCCGAGAATGGAAAAAAGAAAGATTCTCTTTTATTTATAAGGCTGCTGTTTAGCAAAATGAGCAGACCGTTGGTAATTCTAATTGTATTAAGAACTTTTAAAGAATAAAAAATAATATTTAATTTAATAATTATTTAATTAAATATATTAATATAGTAATAATATTAAAATTAATATTTATTTTAATAATTTTTTATTATAAAAAAATATATTTATAATATTTTTATTTTATTAAATAAAATTACGAAATAAAAAACTCCATTCTAATTATTGATCGGGTCAAGAGAAGGAGAAAGTCTGTTGACTCCCGGAATACACCTCAGCGGTATCCCGGGTTAAGCAAAAACCATCACATCAATTATTTTTTAGTTTTTTACAGTTCATCAATCACACAACAACAAACGAGAAATCTTAATTTAACTTACAATAAATTTTTTTAGATAAAGTTGTCAGTACTTTTTTTTTTTTTTCGCATCACCCCAGGCCGGGCTAATAAAAAATCGTTACATCAATTGTTTTTAGTTTGTTACAGCTCATCAATCACACGACAACAAATGAGAAATCTTAATTTAATTTACGGTAAATCTTTTTTTAGATAACGTTGTCAGTACTTTTTTTTTGTTTTTCGCATCTCCCCAGGCCGGGTTAATAAAAAACCATTACATCAATTGTTTTTAGTTTTTTACAGCTCATCAATCACACGACAGCAAACGAGAAATCTTAATTTAACTTACGGTAAACCTTTTTTTAGATAAAGTTGTCAGTAGCAATGTTTTTAAACTCGAATTAGGGTTCAAGTCGTTTTAATTTTTGATTTATGATTTGAATAGTTTAATTAATTTAATTGATAAAATTATCGGTTGATCAAAATAATATAAATATATTATTATATAAAATATTACACAAAGTGATTATTAGATGTAGTGGTAAGTGATTGATTAGTTATAAAAAAAATCACAAGTTTAAATTTTTTCAGAACAAATTTTCATATAATTGTGATTTTAAAAATTAAATAAATATATTGTAAAATATGAAGAGCATGAAAAATGGATGTTCTTGTGACTGTCATCAATAATTTAATTAAAAATTTTAAAGTTTTTATTAGATAAATAAAATTCCAAGCACCTATTAACATAAGGATTTCATTGTTTTGTTGGCAAAGAATCAGAATAAAAGCTTTAAAGTGGCAAGTTGAAGCTTTGTGAGAGAAAAATTTCTCAAGTTTTTATTTTCAAGTATTGAACCGTTCTATCGAATAGTTTTTCGATTTAAGTGGTTTCAACGATTCTTATTGATTTCAAATGGTTTAATCATTTAAACAGCTTAAAAAGTACACTCAAACCGTTTATATTATTAGGTATCAATTCAACCAACCGATTCGATCCGATTTTCAAAACTATGGTCAGTAGACTCTTTGTTTCTTCAGCATCTCCTTGGCCTAGGCTAATAAAAAACCATCACGTCAATTATTTTTTAAGTTTTTTACAGCTCATCAATCATATGACAACAAACGAGAAATCAATGTTTTTGGGCTTGATTCGATGGTTGACTCTGTTTGGCCATTAGGTCTGATTCAACCAATTCAATAGGTTTACCCAATTGATCCAACCGATCAACTAAAAAAAATCCTTTTTTTTATACATATTTATTAGATTTTATTATTCTATATTTCTTTCATTTTATTCTTGAGGAATAGTTATCATAAGATCAACTTGACAATCATCATTTAAGTCATTTAAAATAATACATTTAATTAAATAATATAATATTTAATATCTAAACTAACAAATATTAAAATACATAATATAAGATAAGTTCATCAAGTATGATAATAAGAAACAACTCAATCTTAAATTAAATTCACGACAAAATAAATCTTAAATATAGAAGAAAATCTCAAATCAAATTCACAAATTCACTACAAAATAAGTCTTGAATATCTATATATATATAAAAAAAAAACTCAAACCAAATCCACAATAGAGACAAATGTCAAATAGATGAAGTATCATTATTAATTTATTTATTTTGGCCTAAATGAGGGGCATCTTCATTAAAATAAGCATTTAGTTCCCAAAAGTCATACTCACTATCACTATTTTCAAATCCAACACCAATTGTTTCTAACCGAATCCCTTCACTAAAACCACCAACTTCCTCATTAACTTGCTCTTCCTCAATACCTTCAAATTAAAATTGTAGAATCATGCAAGAAAAACAAATATAAGAAATAAGTCTTACATTTGTCTATTCATTAAATGATATAATGATATAGTATATTAAAAATTAAATTAACTAATGAATAACCTTCTTTTTTATTTACATGATAAATTGGAATTGCTCCTTCATTATAAATCATATTCTCTAATTTGTCATAATTAAGAATTGGAGAATCATCTTGTTCCATTATCCAATAATCAACATTGTCTATAATCCCATAATCAATAGAATCAAAACAAGTCTTCTTCTTGCCATCAATCTTATAATTCAAGATTCTTAAAGATTAGCAAAAGATTTAATTAATAAATTTTAAGTAGAAAAAAAACTATAATTCAAATAAAAATAAAATAAAATGCCTATTTTTCAAATGCAAATTGTAATGCACATAAACATGATCATTTAATCTTTGATGCTCCAATTTATTTCTTTTCTTGGTGTGTATCCTTTAAAAAACACTCCAATTTCTTCACAACCCGAAGATGATGAAGGTTGGCTCATGAGTTTAATAGCCAAATTTTTAAGAGTTAGAGCACTATATCCAAAACATTTCCACCGCTCATCTATCAAGAAAATAAGAAATATATAAAATGTTAGAAGATTTATAATCAAAAATATTTTCCATAAAAAAGTATTAAATTTATAAATTAAAACGTGGAATCTTACTAGATTTCATATCTTTTGAAGATTCAAGTGCACTTGGACGAGCAACACTCTCCAATCTCTTCTCATACAACTCACATTCATTTCAAAATTTTGTCTTTCGAGATGGAAGGAATTTTTGCATCTACAACATCCATAAACCCTTTTATCACTTCTTGCTTGATACAAAAATGCTCTTTAGCGTAAAAGAAAAAAGGATTCAAGTAATAGGCAGCAGCATGGATACTTTGACGAAGTTGCCTATCACACCTTTCCTTGATAATTTTTGTATAAGGCTTGTATAAAGACTTTCTATTCATCAACATAGTCTTAATTGCCTTTCTAACCCTATACATGCCATCATAGACAGAACCAAGAGAAGGCATTTCATCACCATCAACAATTCTAAACAAACGCATAAGTGGTGCCACAACTTTCACAATAAGTTGACAATTACTCCAAATTTTGTTATCTAAGACGACAACATCTTTCGCCTTTAAATCTTTATAGTATCTAGACTCTTTAAATTCCAAGCTAGTAACCAATGCTTGCAAATCATGCTTCTGATCAAGAATGCTTTTAATGCAATAAATGTAGTGGCAAACCGTATTGGCCCTAGATGTATAATTTCAATCCACCATTCTCTTTTTCTTAGCTAAGCTAAGAGAAAAGCATGATTATATACAAATTTAGTCACCAATGATGCACTAGTTGCTAATTTACTCACAACATCCAACTTGCCAATATCACTTAATATCAAATTCAAGCAATGCACAACACAAGGAGACCAAAAGATAGTTGGATGCATGCCATTTAACAAATTTTCAACTTTCTTATAATTAGCTGCATTATCAGTGACCAAATGGACAACATTACTAGCACTAACAAAATCAACAAATTCTTTAAACAAATTGCAAAGCATGGTAGCATCTTTAACCACATCAAAAGCATCAAAAAATTTCACAAAGGTTATCCCTCTAGGACAATAAACAAGAAAATTAATCAATTGTATATTTTTTTTTATCTTGCCAACCATCACCCATGATTGTAAAACCAATTTCTTCCCAAAATTTTCTATACGAATCAATCAACAACTGGACCTCTTTTTTTAAATATTTCAAAAAATTAGTTCTTACTGCATGATAGGTTGGTCCTTTATAACCAAGACCAATTGCAACAATAGGATCAATCATAGGCTGAAAATATGGAGAATTAATGGCATTTATAGGAATGCAACTATCAAAGAAGAACTAAGCAACAGCTAAATCAGCCTGATGAATATCTTTTATACCTACCATTGCACTTCTAATTGATGGTTGAGATTCAGGAGTTGTTCTCAGAGCAAAATAATTATGCAACTCACTTGCCTTTCTTTTTTTACCCTTTTCTAAAGTAGTTGCTATTCCTTTTCCTTTAGCTTGAGAAGGTAGACCAGGAATCTCTTGCAACTGAGCATCACCAAATGGGTTATCTTCCTATTGATTTTTAGCTTGCTTCTTCATTTCTTCAAATTCCCTCAAATTTCCTTGCATTCGATAGCGAACATTATGAGGCACCTTATCACATGTTTTTACTTCTCCACCTTTTCCAGCAAGGTAATGTTTCATTCTATTTATTCCCCCTCTTTTGATAAATTTTTGGCAATGCAAGCATTGTAAGGTTTTTTTTGTGCCTTCAACTTCAACACAATGCTCCCATGTAATTTCAGCTTTTCCCCTACATGATTGTTGTGATTCTGTAGTAGCAGCAGTTGAATTTTGTTTAGAAGATGACATTTTTCTATAATTTACCCAAATAGATCAATTATTAAGGAAAACTCCATGAATCTAAGAATGATAAATAAGAATTTGTTTGAATTAAATATTAAAATTTAAAATCAATACATTACAGATTATAAACAAATAAAAACAAGCATCACAGCAATCACATATATTGATTTGAGCATCACATAATCAATGCATTACATATATATATATATATATTTCCAAATCTTATATATATATTGATTAATAAAAAATTAATTCCTATAATGTTAAGTGGGAAAATCCCACATCAAGTATAAAAATAAGAAGCTTGTGGGTTAAATATAAGGAAGGCCACTCCACTTATCGCTAATTGATTTTAGGTTGGATGCAAGTCTTGTGTTAAACCCATATTCACATATAAACAATTAAAATCATATAAATTTGTACCCATTGGGAAACAAATGTTGCTTTGTTCTGCTGTGAAGAAGAGGATCTGTTCTGTTGTTGTTGCTTGATTTAGTGCATGAAGGAAAGGAAGGTGTATTGCTCTGTTCAATGGCTGAAGGAGAGGTTGTTTCTGCCCATTAGGAAGGAGAGGAAGGTGAGCAGTAGATGCTGCTCTATCTGGTGTTGCTGTTATGTTTAGTGCTGTTACTCTATTCGATGAAGGAGAAGCTACTGGCTATCAACAGTGGTGGTTAAGAATAGATGCAGATCTAGTCTGCCACTGTTGCTCTATTCCTATTGTTGCTCTATTCGATGAAGGAGTGCTGCTGCTGTTCAATGAAGGAAGGCAAGGAAGATAAGTCGCGAAAGGGATGGAAGGGGTTGTTGACGGTGGTGGTTGAGAGCAAATGCAGATTTGTTCCGTCACTGTTGCTCTGTTCCTGTCGTTGCTCCGTTTGGTGAACAAGTGTTGTTGCTGTTCAGTGGAGGAAGCTAAGGAAGATGAGCCGCGAAGGTTGTCCAAAGAGTTGCTGACAGTGGTGGTTAAGAGCAGGGAGGTCGGTGGAGGAAAGAGGCAAGGATCTATTCTATTCTTGAGCTTTCTTCTTCTTTCTATTTTCAACAGTGCTTGATGAGCTTCTTTTTTTTTTTTTTTCAGTTTTCGCCTTCTATTAGGTTTTTTTTAGCTAATCTTAATTGAAGTTTAAGGGTTTTTTTATGTAATTATATTAAAAATGTGAGATAAAATGGGTATATGACCTTGAAAATGAAAAAAAAAAAAGGGTTAATTGAAGAAATAAGGTGTAGCCCGGTGGGTTGAATGGGTGAAACGGGCCAAACGGGTGGAGCAGGCCAAGCAGGTTAGAGCGGGCCATTTGCTAAAACAGGTTGCAGGTTGTGTCCGATCCATTTTCAAGTTCGGCACGGTTGAATCAGTTCAACCAATCAAGCAAGGCCAAGCCTTAGAACAATGTGAGAAATTTTAATTTAACTTACAATAAATCTTTTTTAAATAAAATTATCAATAGACCATTTTTTTCAACATCTCCCCAACCTTTCCTTTAGTCCAATGTTTTAAAACCAAAACTAGAGGTCAACCTATTTTGACCTCTAGTTTTGGTTAAATAATTTATCTATTTAAATCATCAATTGAACTGAAATGTTATAAATAAAATTTTATAAACAAGATATAATAAATAAATGTTTTGCACAAACCTTACACAACAATTTCTTCAGGTTAGGTGGTAAAAAGACAATGCATCAATTAATAGGTTGAGAATATGAGATTTCATGGTGCCATTTTTGCACCTCTATATAATTTACATCATAATAAATATATTTTCTATGTAATCCATCTCATCACAAGCCCAGTAGATAAAGTGGCTAAACATTTCTTGCTAAAAGTATGAACCAATCGGTTAACTGAGTTACAAATGAATTCATCACCGTGCACCTCAATTAGTTTAGTCAAACTAGGTTTGAAAACATTGTTTTAGTGTCTTTTTTTTTTGTTTTTTTTTCTTTCTAATTTTATTTTTGCACATAGCTACCATATTCTTCTCTTCATAGCATTTGTAGAGGCTCATAGGGCTTGGTTATTGTAATTGAGATTGCAATTGCTAAGTTTCTCGATGAAATTAACTATTAAGTTTCTCGATGAAATTAACTATTAAGTTTCTCGATGAAATTAACTATTAAGTTTCTCGATGAAATTAACTATTAAGTTTCTCTTGATCGGGTATAGCTTTTTCAATTAACGATTTGAAATTGCTAAGTTTCTCGATGAAATTAACTATTAAGTTTCTCTTGATTGGGTATAGCTTTTTCAATTAATGATTTGCAATTGCTAAGTTTTTCTTGTGTGATTTGTGGATATAAGCTTTTTGGTTGATTTGGTTTAAGAATGGTTAGAATGAGTTATAAGAAATTAAACTTTTTTCATGCCCACCAAGTCTTTGATGTATTTCCTGAGTAAGATTACCTACAGGGGAACAATGTTTGAGCAAGCTTGAGGAAGATTTTGTTCTTTTTCACAAAATTCCTATGTTGTTAATATATTTCCTAACTTATAGCAGTGATGGGGCATTCTTTGTTGGCTGGGACAACTCTATTTACAGTTGCTCCATTAAGTCTAGATATCATCTTAATTGGAGATAGGTTTGGCTACCTTTTCTCTGCCATTAGTGATAATATGTAACTTGCATCCATAGCATCAAAAGATAAAATTATTGCCTTTTATTATCATTTTTTAGCTTGTGTATTATGTAGGTGATTGATTTTTTATTAGCTAAGTAACCTATAAACCCTCATACCAATAATATATAGATTGAGAATAAGATTAAGACATAAAATTCAAAGAAGTTGGCTTTTCATTTTCTAGGAAACCCAATTTAGGGAGTTAGCCATGGCATAATGACTATTAGAAGCAACACAGAGGGGGGAACATCAAGATTCAAGAATTGCACTGCTTTTTTTTTTTTTTATCAAGAAAATTGTCTTGTATCACTTTCACAAAAAATTTTGCCTTGTATTGTATTGTTTTTTTAGAGAATTGCAATGTATCTTGAAATATTATTTTATTATTAATAAAAGTTCACCTTTCTAATAAAAGAGTGTTATTTTGGTATAAATTTAGCTATTAAAATAGATTATCCTCTAAAGATGAGTAGCTAATGCAAGTTTATATAAAATCATAGTACAACAAAAGCTATATTTTAGTTTTTGTATAATCATCTAACATATAAAAATACCGTTATATGATCTACAAAATGACTCTCATAACTTATCCACATTTTTAATGATTTTTCTCTGTCAATACTTCATAGCCATTTACAACCTATAGATATAAGAATACATTTGCTTGTTAAGAGAATGAGCAACATCTTATCAAATCTCAAAAGCCAACTCATAAATTGTCAAAATGGGATTGAAATCTTAGGTTAGTTGATTTGAAGGAGTAAAAATGGGATTGAAATATTGAAATTTCAAGTCATCAAAATAAGATTAACATCTTGAAGCATTTCTATAAGAGTTGTATATGGATGAAAAACACATATTCTGAACTAGT